CCAGGAGCCCATCGATGTTCATAGAAGAACTATTTATGAATAAACATTGCAAACTGTGTATATGCTTATTAACAGGAGGCTGAATAAATACATTTTGACACAGTTATATGATGGAATATTATAGACTAATAAAAATGACTTAGCATTGTAAGTCAAACATTTATCAGCACACTGCTGGGTAGTGGATGTGCCTTCTGGATACCTATGTCCTGTGGTGGTGAGGAGGAAGCTTACTGTACCTGACTGGCCCCAGGACAAGAACTAGAGCCTTTGTGAAATGGTCTAGGGAGGTTGACATGTGCTGAAAATGAAAAAGAGTTTCCTAACAGGTCAGGCTGGCCAAGATCCTCTAAGGCAGCGGTTCTCAATCTGTGGGTCGCGACCCCTTTGACGGTCTAACGACCCTTTCACAGGGGTCGCCTAGGATATATCAGATATTTACATTACGGTTCATAACAGTAGCAACATTACAGTTATGAAGTAGCAACGAAAATAATTTTATGGTTGGGTCACAACATCAGGAACTGTATTTAAAGGACCAGAAGGTTGAGAACCACTGCTCTAAGGGAATAAACTGTCATCAAAGGTGTCAAGCAGGGGGTGGGCAAATTCATTTTCAGTGTACCAAGCACTAGATACCAGTAGTGTAAGGGCAGGGTTAGATGAAGATGGTCTTTATGACCTCTCTTCCACACCCAAAGGCCCTGTGGTTCCATGGTTCAGTGACGTTGCAAAGCATGACCCAAAGAGGACAGGACTGAATAAATAACCAAATGGTGACACATTCATGCCACACAACACTGCTCACTAATAAAAGGGCACGGACCCTGGCACATGCAACAACACGGATAAATCTCAAAAAAACATGCTGCGTGAAAGAAGCCTTGAATGAGGGACCTCAAACTGATTCTATTTATGTCATGCTTCAATTTCTGACTTTTTTAAATGGGAGAGTTTTAAGGTACCAATTAATGGAAGATAAATAAAGGCTAAAGACTAAGTATAGAAGAAAATTTATTAGTAAAGAATCATAAGAATTTCAATAAGAACCTAAGTAGAATTTACTGATACTCAGGTGGATTTTCAGTGAGAATCAATGGCAATGATTCAGAAAGGAATTTTGTGGAAAGTACATTTATAGGTTTCACACTTACATAGTTCCATTGATAATATTCAATATAAATTAAAATAATACCAGAGGTCTCCCTTACCTAGACTATTACTAATTCAAAATAACATGTTAGGATTTTCATAATATTACATTATTTCATCATAACTACAATTAGTAATATTTCTTCACCAATCTTAATGTAATTACTTGGTAATATATAGAAAGTTTTATAACCATATTTAATTTGCCTAGGTTCTAAAATGCATATTGGCTCAGTTTCCTTTTCACATTTCACCATGTCCAATGTCAGTACCCTAATCAATGCTACTGTCAGAAACTACTGAACTGGTCTCACTATAGACACCAGTAGTGTGCTAGAAAATGGATAATGACCAGCTCTTTGGAAGAAGGGAAAATCCTGATTTGCAAGATCTACCCATTGCTATGGAGTAAATACACCCACCATGGCTAATTTCAAGCTTCCAATGGAAAATCACTGAACCTGGAGTTGGGAAGAAATGATAACAAATTGGCTCTTTCAAAACACTGTCTTCACACCACTCCCCTCACCACACCCAATATATTCTTCATAAGAACACAGGATGAGGTTTTTAAAAGATCACACCATCTGGGGCCTGGTTAAAAATAAATTTTTCAGTTCTTTTTACTTCTCCCAAACCTTCTTTCAATTTCTTCCTGCTCCCAGTCTTTACAGAGTATTTGGACAAGCTGTTATCTGTGCTGGAAAATTCTTCCTTTGCCTTTTCACATAATTAACTGATATCCTTCAGATCTTAGCTCAAGAATTAGCTCCTCAGAGAACTTCTCCCTGATGTCCTTGGTTATGTTAAAGCCCTATATTAAAGCCCTTATAACAGGATACTACCTCTACATTATAGCTACTGTTACATCTACAGTCTTGTATTTCTTGATGCAATCAATTAATGTGTGTCTCTCTGACTATACTCTTAAGTTTATGAGACAGCACTTGGTTTTCAACACTAAATCCCTAGCCCTGAGCACAGTGCCAAGAACAAAGCAAATACTCAAGAATTAGATGAGTAAATGTGTACCTAAAATCATAAATAAATATGTTCCCCTGAAATTTGTAGAGTTGAAGATTAGATGATAAGAGGACTCTTTGATGTGTCTTCCGTAGGGCTACAGAGTTTGTGTTT